CGTGATCAAACTTCAGACATCCTCACCGTTCAACGGACACGACTTCTTTACCTGGAGCTTCGAGTTCGAGCTGCTGATGGAGGCCGCGCATCTTCTGGGATACTTCAACGGGTCCCTGCCATTCCCAAGCAACGGCACTGGGAAGGAACAAGAGATCTTCACATATCAGTCGCTGCTGGCGTACACGGTACTCCTGAGAAACCTGTCACCACAAGAGCAGCAGAGCATCAGAACGTATCGGAGTTATGGAAACTCCGCGGAGCTCGCATGGCACCACCTCAAATGCCTTTACCAAGCAAACGACAGCGTGACACAAAGCAGACTCATGCAACAGCTGACAACAATACAGATGAAGACCGGGGAAAAGGCGATGCAGTATATGAGTCGCTGCCAGACCCTCCGCGACCGCCTGCTTCGGTGCGGAGGAACGATCACTGAAGAAAGCTTCGTGACACTTGTCCTCGCCGGGCTCGGGCCAGAATGGAGAACCACACGATCACTTCTTCGAGCCCACGGAAGAATTTCGGAGATGCACCTCTGCGCCGAGCTTCACGCTGAACAACAGGAGATGGATCTGTTCGAGGAAAGACAACCAAGGAAGCAACAGCAGTTAGTCTTCTACACTCAAAGAAGAAATGACAACAACTACAACCGACGCAGCAAGCAAGATCAACGTGACAACCGAGGACTCACCATCGTGCCGCCGTTCTGCCACAACTGTCAGACTTCCGGGCACTCCAAGGTCAACTGCAACCGCCCTCGCGTTTACCGTGCAGCAGACCCACAAGTCGCTTCCACTCAAGCAAGTCCTCCAAGGCGCTCTTCAACATCTGCACAACAAACACCCAACATCATCAACTGCATGGTACACATCGACAACTGCGCACCCGCTTCACCACCCACTTACGCACCAGACGAAGAGGAATTCCCGCCGCCGCGCTCGCAAGGACTTCAGGTCAACCCGACATACGCTGCAGTCGCTAACGCCGAACCCACCGGGCGGAACACCTGGTTCTTGGACAGTTGCTGCGGTCAGCACATGTGCTCCTCCGGACGCTTCGTACAACACGAGCGACGCCTCAACCGTGACGTCGTCATCACCGTCGCCAACAACGAAAACCTGAAAACAAATAGACAAGGCGTGGTTCAGTTACAATCAATGGAGACAAACGTTATTCTTCAGCTCAACAAGGTCCTCATCGTCGACAATCTGGGATACAACCTATTAAGCGTAAGCCAACTAATGGCTAAGGGGATTCACCTGGAGTGCGACTCCTTCTCCAACGAGTTCCGACTTTACCACGGGAAGGGCGGTCTCTTCATCGGTCGTGCCCTCCTGAAGTCCGGTGTCTTCGTGTTGGACTTCGTCCCCGACCGCGGAACTGCCGACAGCGACGGTATCGTATCCTTCGCCGCCTGGACTCATCCGCCAGATCTTGATCCCGACTTCGACAGCGACGGCTTCTGGCACTCCAACACCATACCTGCAGCAGAAAGAACACGAGCATTAGCAGTTATCAGACAAGAAAGACAAGTACCCGCATGTGTCCCAACAAAACCATCACCTGCAGTATCGGCAGCAGGACCCAGCCGAGTACCACCACCAGCGACACGAGGACAGCCAACCGAAGCAGACCAACTTATGCCCGCCACACGAGAAGCTTGTCGAAGTCCCGCCTCGGTCGTCGCGTTCTTCTCCAACGCCGACATCTACCACCGCTCGCCCGGTCACCGCGCTCCCGACGACATCTGGCACCAACGTCTCGGACATCCTGCAAACAGCACGATACTTCAAACAATCCAAGCAGAAGTGTTAGAACGCAACGCCCTTCTGACGACGAGCGGCCAGGAACTCCGACGACCACGCGCACGGTGTTTCACATGCCCCGAAGCAGATCTTCCTCATCAACCTTTCCCAGCCCATCACAATCCAAGCGCACCCACTTACGCTCCGATGGAAAAGGTCTACAGCGATATTCTAAACATGCCTCGAGACGACACCGAAGCCGACTTCAACTACGTCATCACGTTCATCGACGCCGCAACCAGATACGTCTGGCACTTCAATCTCAAAACGCGCGATCAAGCCTTCGAGGCATTCACCACATGGCTTCCAATCGCCGAACGAGAGTCAGGAACCAAACTCAAGAGTTTCCAGTCAGACGGTGCACTGGAATACCAGTCACAACGCTTCAGGACCTATCTCGCGGAAAGGGGAATCCGACGCCTGGTGTCTCTGCCCTATGCTCACCAGCAGCAGGGGGTAGCAGAACGCATGAACCGGACCTTGCAGACGACGATGCGAAAACTGCTTCTGGGGATGAGGCTGCCCAACGCACTGTGGCCAGACGCGATGACACATGCAGTCCACCTGCACAACCTGTTGTCCTCGTCATCGCTCCCCAACAACGCATCACCACACCTGCTGTGGACGGGAAAAAGGGGCAGCACAAAATTACTTCGAGTTTTCGGCTGCATGGTACAATACAGACCCCACACAGCTCGAGCAGGACGCTTCACTCAACGAGCTCGGTGGGGACTACACCTCGGCATCGCCAAACATTTTCACGCGTGGAAGATCCTCGACATACAAGACAAAAATACGGTGGCATCACGTGATGTTATCTTCTACGAGCGACTGACGCTGCAGCATTACCTGGACAACATTGCCAACTCAGACGACCCCACCGACGGCTTCGCGGGCCTTCGCTCCTTCGCTGACCATGCTGCCGAGGCTGACGCAGCAGAAGAAGACGTACCTGGAGCCTCGGAAGCTGCCGGGCCACTCCCATTCTGTTCCATACCTGTTCCACTCGATGAAGATAATCCCCTCGATAGCAACAACCTCGACACCTTTTACCACTTCGCCGACCAAGGTTACGCTACACCGCACCCCGTCGACACGAATATTTCGGAACGCATCGGCCCCAATTTCTTACCTGACCCCGAAGACGGTGACGAAGCAGCTTATTCGGGGAATGACAATTCCCCTCGACACACACCCACGGGACTCCAGATTCTAGGCCTCTGGGTCTCCGTCCAGCATCCGCCGCCGCCTTCTACGCGTGAGCCTTCAACCTTGTCGCAGGCTCTGGGGGGGGAACATAAGGCAAAATGGAAAGAAGCGATGGAAAAGGAGTTAAAAGCTCTGCAAGACCGAGAAACATGGAAACTGGTACCTGCAACGAGCATCAACGGGAAGAACGTTCTCTCGGGGAAATGGGTGTACCGCATCAAGACCAACTCAGACGGCTCCATCGAACGATTCAAAGCTCGATGGGTCGTACGAGGCTTCGATCAACGATACGGAACCGACTACACAGAAACCTTCGCCCCAGTCTCCCGTCACACCTCATTACGCATCCTACTCGCCGTCGCGGCCACAAAAACACTACCACTACGCCAAATCGATGTCGCGAATGCGTTCCTATACGCACCTGTGGACGCTGAGATCTTCGTCGAACAACCCCACGGATTCATCGACGACCCCACGAAAATATGCCGACTGACAAAATCCCTATACGGGATCAAGCAAGCCCCGCGGCTCTGGCAGCAGCATCTTCACAGCCGTCTCGTAAAAATCGGCTTCCTACAGCTGCCGCATGACCAAGGGATGTACCGACTGCAGAAGGGAAGAGAGTATGTTCTGCTCATCGTCTACGTCGACGACCTGCTCTACATCGGCTCAACTACCGACATCGCCACCTGGTTCGAAGGGGAGCTGAAAGAAGATTTAACTCTCACGGTGTCCGACGAAGTTACGCAGTACCTAGGACTGAACGTCGTCGAAGACGACACGGCGTTCTACCTACACGCTGGAAAGTACTCAAGCACCGTCGCGAAGAAATTCGCTCTAACACCGACTGCGGTCCCAACTCCCTACCGCTACGGGAACAACGGCAGCGCCTCTACAAAACTCCCCGCGAAACAAATCCAGGAGTATCAACAGAAGCTCGGCTGCCTACTATTCGCAGCAGTAACCTGCCGACCCGACCTATCCTATAGTGCGAGTCAGCTGGCGACACATCTGAAGCATCCGCAACAGGAAGATCTCGAAGAACTCAATCGAGCGCTACTCTACTTCGTCTCCACGCCGACGATCGGGCTTACCTACAGCAAGGCAACAACACCGTCCGTACGACTACTCGGATACGTCGACGCCGACCACGCGGGAGACAGCGAAAATCGACGGTCTAGGACGGGCTACATCTACCGACTAGAACCTATCGGAACTATCTCCTGGCAGTCGAGCAAGCAGGAGTTAATCGCACTATCCTCGGCTGAAGCAGAGTATATCGCCCTTTGTACTGCGACCAAGGAAGGACTCTACCTACGAGAGTTACTCGAAGAAGCGAAGATCGCGACCCTGCCCGCCTTCTCAATCCTCTGCGACAACCAATCTGCGATCAAAATCGCGAACAAGGACGGCTTCGCCAATCGAACCAAGCACATCGCCCTGCGGTACTTCTTCGTCAAGGATGAAATCGCGAAGGGGAGACTTCAACTCAGTTACTGCCCGACGACAGAAATGGCCGCAGATTATCTGACGAAGAAATTGGCGAAAGCAAAATTCGACTACTGCATGCTCCTAACCGGGCAAACAAACGCCACCGGATCTGAACACTCCAGCACTCCAGAAACGAAGGGGAGTGTTGGAAATATCTCAAGGACTTAAGCGTTTCTGAAGTGTAACACTGTACTCGAGGAAGATTACAGGGGAGCACGCGAGTCAACGGAGGTTACACGAGGGGGCGGACAAAGAATGCGAAAGGACTCGAAAGGTCGCAACTGGAGGTTGCGACTGACCGTTACAACATCACGGATGGTAACCGAAGCGGCAATCGAGTCGCTGTGCGACTCGATAAACCGTTCCTGTAACTGTATTCTACAACTGCTTTCTTATCTACTATATATTGCTGTATGCTTGTTTCTTTAATCAATCACTTGTTCTCACATACTAGTACAAGGGTTCAACTGTCTCAACTTCCGCTGCACTACTCCAAGTCTCAAGTCTCTACAGCTGGGACTTAGTCTCTGCAAAAGATCCTAAGGGCTTTTCTCAGCCCAACACCTTCGTTCACCTTACATTCTTCTCTTCGTAAATGCTTGCGTACCTATGGTGACAACGTGAACCCACCTGTTCGATTTCTAGTGCACACACCAAATATTGGCATCTAAAACACATACTGTAACATATACCATCAATAGCGTGGAGGTGGTCAGGATGAAAATATATAAGGTAGTGGTACATGGCCGTGCCGTGGGAAAGGTGCGAGTAGGTTGATGAGATGACCATTGATCTCACTTTGGTCATCATGAAAATGCTCATAGTAATGGGAATGTTGCCAACCTAGGCCATGCTGTAGGATGGAGCGGGAAGGTTGATGACCGTTGATTTCACTTTGGTCATCATGAGAATGCTGTTGGTAACCCCCTGGGATCCGATGCCACTCTCGCGGAAGCCCTGCGGAGGGGGAGAGGCGTACGGGGGGAAGGGGGGGTGGACGGATTCGATAGGGGAGAGGTGAACGAGTGAAGGGGAGCACACTGAACAGAAAATAAGGCAGTTGGACGAATCGTACCGCAGGAAACCACACAGAACGCCACAAGCAGAGCAGCCTGCATGATACCCTACCACGTACCTGGAAGGGGAAGTGGACCGGCCTCTGGCAGGCGTTGAGTGGATGAGCAAAAACGCATACACGAAGCAAATATGCTACCACAAGCCACACGCATGCAATCATGGCGCCAAATGCCAGCTTACCTGGAAGGGAAAGTGGCCAGGCCCTCTGGCAGGGACTGAGTTTGACGAGCAAAAGACATATGAGACGCGGGCACGCTACCGTAGGCCACATGAATGCAATCCTGCTACTGTAAGCCGCATGCATGCAAACATGGCAGGGACCAGCCTATCTGGAAGGGAAAGTGCGAAGGTCCCTCGTCCAGAGGCTGAGTTTCTGAGCAAAAACGCATACGCGGAGGCAGCCTACCTGGAAGGGGAAGTGATCGGGCCCTCTGGCGGGCGCTGAGTTGATCTGCACGGTGCCTGTCTCCATGGCGTCTGATATCATGATGGCCTTGTTGATGTCGCGCGTGAACACACAGCCCTGGAATGCGGGTAGACAGGTTAACACATACAGGAGAACACACAGAGGTGAAGAAGGCACAGGTCGATCTGCACAGTGCCCGTCTCCATGCCATGTGCGCTCATGGTGGCCTTGATGATGCCCCGCGTGAACACACAGCCCTGGAGGAAAGGTACAGTCAGACAGACACAGGGGAACACACAGGTGAAGGCACAGGCTGAGCTGCACCGCGCCTGTCTCCATGGCGTGTGGTGCCATAATTGCCCTAAAAATACACAGCTCTGGAGGTCTCCATGGCATGTGGTACCATCATGGCCGTTATGAATACTCAGCACAGGAGGAGAGGCATTGGGGGGGGGGTGGTGGGGTTGGTGCCTGCCTGACTTTGCAGCGCAGAGTTGGAGGTGTTGCCATGGTGTGCTGTACGTGACCAGCGGGCGGCACCGCTCGTACCATACCAACAAATGCATTCGTACACACACACGCACATGCAGCTGTAAAGCGAAATTGGAGGCGCTGCAGTGGTAATGGTAGTGGCATACACTCGCACTTTACTCCACCACGGTAATGTGGATGACTGGCACCACAGGGGGCCAGAGTCACAAGCACGCACACAGACACATAACCCCAAACCCAGCTATAGAGCAAATTTGGAGGCATGTGCAGTGGTTCACACTTTCCTCCACCATGGTAATGCACATGACCGGCACCACGGGGCCATGATCACCCCCTCTGCCCACACACCAAAGCAGTTCCCGGCTAGCCTGGGGTGCGAAGTTGCTAGCGTTGCAGTTGGACGCGCCCTCCTCCACTGTGGTGATGCGGATGACTGGCATCACGGGGCCAGAGCCACGCACATACATAACACTGAACCCACCTGCAGTGCGAAGTTACTAGCGTTGCAGTTGTGCACGCCCTCCTCCACTGTGGTGATGCGGATGACTGGCATCACGGGGCCAGAGCCACGCACATACATAACACTGAACCCACCTGCAGTGCGAAGTTACTAGCGTTGCAGTTGTGCACGCCCTCCTCCACTGTGGTGATGCGGATGACTGGCACCACGGGGCCAGAGCCACGCACATACATAACCCTGAACCCACCTGCAGTGCGAAGTTACTAGCGTTGCAGTGGTGCACGCCCTCCTCCACTGTGGTGATGCGGATGACTGGCACGACGGGGCCGAAGGGCTCCTCCCACGCCAGTCGCATGTCGGGCCGCACGTGATCCACGAGTAGGGGCCAGATGAGATTGCCATCTCGCTTGAACTCCTGGTGGGGGCGAGAGGCGAAGCGGTCAACGTGAGGAGGGAGGGGAGGCAGACGTGAGAAGAGCTCTTCCCACCCCCCCCGCACGCATGTCGGGTCGCACGTGGTCTAACAATGGCGGCCAGATGCGATTGCCCTCTCGCTTGAACTCCTGGTGGGGGCGAGAGGGGAGGGGATGATGAGATGGGGTGCGTGATGATTGTGCACCATCACACTCACAAACCAACACGAATACCCACCCTGGTACCTGGCATAATTTGACTCCTTTCTCTCTAGCTTCCAGCACAAGTCCCTCAATGAAGTCGGCGCTTGACTCGCTGACCATCGCCATCGGCACTCAGAAACATAACCCCCCCCGTACACCCCGACACACACCCTCCCAGACACCCACCTGGCAGAACAAGGCGCCCTTCTCCCTGGCGTCCAGCACAAGCCCCTCAATGAAATTAGCGCTCGACTCGCTGACCACCGGAGTGATGTCAGCGTCATCCTCCGGCCGCCCCACTGTGAGCTTCGCCAGCCTGGAATTCACCCGCTCCACCAGCGCGTCTGCCACATCCTCCATCACCAGCACCACCTTCACAGCCGTGCACCGCTGGCCGCTGATGTGGCACAATGTGATTGGCCGGGAAAGGGGGCCGGCGGGGGGGGGGAAGGAAGCAGGAGTCGAGGGATGGTTGGGCTTGAGATGGAACAGAGTAGAGGAACGGAGTGGATTCGGGCAGCATGCAAGGGTTGAGGCAGCCAGGAAGCAACAAAAAAGGCTCCACCTATTGAAGGGCTTACCTAGTGAAAGGCTTAGCTGTATAAAAGTCCCCTTTGACGATATAAGCAGCAAGTAGGTCCAAACCAGCATCCTGCAGCACAGTCCATGCATCCTTGCCTCCCAGTTCTATGGCACGAAGACGAAGGCGTTGCATGTCTCCTTGGCTCCTGGCTTACCTGGTGAAGGCGTGAATTGAAGGAGAAGGCTCTACCTGTACGAGAAGCCTCCTTTGACGATGTTGGCAGCAGCAAGGTCCAGGTCAGCGTCCTCCAGCACAATGCACGCATCCTTGCCGCCCAGCTCCATCTGTAGTGGAATCATGCCCGCCCTGCGGCTGATGGCAATGCCCGTGTCGCCGCCTGTGAAGCTGGTGCAAAAAGGGGGAGGGCGGATAATGACAGGGGCGAAGGGACATGTTCATGATACTCCTCCATGTGCAGCGGCATCGTGCCCCCGTGCGGCTGATGGCTATGCCCGCCGTGCCGCAGCCTGTGAAGGTGATGCAAGGGGAGGAATGGCAGGGGTGAAGGGGCATGTTCATGCACCTCTTCCCACCTGCAGCGGTGACGTCCCCTCCCTGCGTGATAGGAGTCTAGTTTTGAGGCGCCTCAAAACTGTTCATGCACCTCTTCCCACCGGCAGCGGTGACGTTGCCTCCCTGCGGCTGATGTTATGCCCGTGCCGCCGCCTGTGAAGTTGATGCAAGGGGGAAAAGGGAGGGATGGCGGGAGGGAAGGGCAGACGGGGGATTGAACGGACGAGGATGCTGAGATATGATGCATCCATCCTTGTATCTCCACCTTGCAGGCCGGGTACGAGGTCGTCTGATCCGTCTGCAGCCATACGGGCTCACGCTGCTGCTGACAGCACGGGTGGATGGATTCACCTGGTGCAGCGGAAAGTGGGGTGCATGGTGAGGAAGTCCCCGAAGTCCAACCCCTCACCCTCGTCCTCCCTCTCTCTTCGTCACCTGATACAGTTGACAAAGAGCCCCCATCTCTCCCCTTCCCCTCCCACCTGATGCAGTTGACAGTGGGGTGCATGGTGAGGACGTCTTTGATGCCAGACCCCACTCCTTCTAACACCTGATACAGTTGACTACACGAACCTATCTCTCATCGCCCTCCCTCTCCCACCTGATGCAGTTGACAGCGGGGTGCATGGTGAGGAAGTCCCCGATGTCCGAGCCCTTGCCAGTGACGGCGCTGATGAGCCCCTTGGGGAACCCCGCCTCCTGGAAGCACCGCACCATGTGCAGCCCTGCCACCGCGCCCTGTGGGGGGAATTTGTAGTAGAGAGGGGCGGTGAGGGGAATGAATCTTGCTAGTGCGGAGTGGGGGATGGAAGCGCCGCACCATGTGCAGCCCTGCCACTGCACCCTGCGGGTGAAGGGGGGGTGGAATGCATGGGGGGATGGAAACGCCACATGCATGGCTCGCTGACAAAAGCAGGGATGGAAGCACCGCACCAAGTGCCACCTGCCACTGCGGCTGTGGGTGGAGTAGTGGGGTGGATAGGTGTCAGTAGAAGGTTGCAGAGATGGGAGCAAGATGAAGGCTTGCAACGCACAAGGCTGCACGGGAGGAGGCACTGCGCACACAGGCAGAAGCAGCACTGCAGCACTGCTAGCATTGCCTTGCCTGCAATGCCAGGAATACACCCTGAGCACCCGAAGGATAAGCTTTAGATCCCCGTACCTGAGAAGGTGGCTTGAGCACAATTTGCATGCAGTGACAGAACAACGCCCTGATTACCTGAATGATACGCTTTAGCTTGCTGTACCTGAGTGGGGGGCTTGAGCACGACGGCATTGCCAGCGATCAGGGCGGGGGCGATCTTGGAGACAGCAAGGTTGACGGGGTAATTGAAGGGCGGGATGCACAACACCACTCCCAGCGGCACCTGGCAGGGCAATGGATAACGAGGAACACAAGACGCAGCACACGGGGGTGACCGGTGATTAGAGCGGCACATAGTGGGCAGGGGAAGGCGACTACGTCAGGTAAGTAGATTGAAAGTGGCACAGGAAGTAGGGCAGGGAGCACGGGAAAACCAGAAGATGGTAAGGACAGGGGTTGCGATGGTCACGGGACTTGCATGCAATACTACACTGCAAACATCATCACTGTCAGATCACCAACCATTACTGCCAAAGCACCCACCTTAGATGCCATGCACAGCTTGGTGCGGTCGTTGCCAGGGAAGCTGTCCCCCACCAGGAACTTGCCCTCCGCCAGCAGCCGCACGCCCTCCTCCGCACAGTAGGACACGAAGTCAGCTGACCGAAGCACCTGGAATCAGAGAGAGGAGGTTTCCTCAGGTGTTTTAATGACATAGACCACGTTGCTGTAACGAACCTAGTCCGGCCAGTGAGATTGCAGTGATGGATGGCAGCTAAAACAGAGGATGCTGATGTTAGGGTGCGGAATGGGACCGCGAACAACTTCACGGCTGCTGCTTTAGGCTGCTGTCATCGTGTGTGTGACAAATGGCGGTGGCGAAAACATAAACTCTAAACTCGTCATTGCCCTGGTCTCAAGAATCAGCCGCAGGGTGCTCGTTTCATTGTGTGCACAAGCATGATTGCCACGTCAGACAGTTCGCACTTCGCACCTCAGTACGGAGTTCTGCTTAGCCGTGGCGACTTCTGTAACGAACGAGGGCAGTTGGCGATGGGATTCTTGCATTCGCCAAGGATGTGAATCACCAACTCGGAAGTGGAGTGGAGTCCATATCAGCCTCACCTCGGTAGTGGAGCCCAATAAAGCCTTTATTGAGGCGCCTGAATGTTCAACTTTGTAATGGGGTCCAATTTAACCTTACCTCGGTAATGGAGTCCAATTAAGCCTCACCTCGGAAATGGAGACCTCGGTGATGGAGTCCTTTCGAGCCTTGGCGACTTCGTTAGCGAGGCAGAAGGCGAAGGAATCCTTGCATTCGCGGAGCATGTGAGCCCCTCACTTTGGTTGGAAACAGAGTCAATCCAAGCCTTACCTCGGTGATGGAGTCCTTGCGAGCCTTGGCGACTTCTGTAACGAGGCAGTCGACGATGGGTTCCTTGTGCTCGCGAAGGATGTGAGCGGCCTTGTGCAGCAGCTCGGCGCGCTTCCACAGCGGCGTCTTTGCCCACCGCTTCTGCGCTATCGTCGCGCTCTCGAAGACGCCGTCCACCTCATCCTGCGTGCACCCTGCGTGCAGAAAAAAGGTAATAAGCTTAACGAGTGGTTGATCGTTCTCTGCTAGATGATTCGCACCGCATTCGGACCCGCATTGTTCTAGGGTTAGCCAATGTTGCGGATTAAGGGAGAACGGAAGTGGAGTTAACGAAGTCGATTCGTAGGAGCTCACCTTGGACTCTATACACGACAGTACGGGTGCATGGATTTATGATGTTGACTGATCTGCCTGACGACGACGATTTCCATTCGCCGTGCGCGAAATACTTATACACATCGCCATCGACAATGTCAGCATAAAAGCCACTGCCAGCTTTCTCCTCTGCCATGGATTTTGTGTAACTGGTCGAAACTAGTCTCCGTTTAACTGGGTACCGAACTGTATGTCCGCAAGGAAGAGAGCCGAACGGAAATTTGCCCAAAACAGAAACGCGCTTCGTGTGGTTCCTCTAGGAAACTCCAAGTAAATGTTGGCAAAGGTCAGGGAAAGGCTGAATCCCCTCCTCGGAATCACTGGCCCGGTCAGAAGCTGATCAGGGGAGTGAGGGGTTATCAGGATTGAGGACAGGGATTCAAGGAAGCTTGGGATTCAGATGTCCATTGCCTTGGGATTGTGGGATTCAGCAGGAAGGTGAGGGGAGGCCACTGCTGCGTGTGATCAGTGGACCCAATGGGGAGAAATTGAGGCATTGCTCCTGGAGTCAGTCAGGACGCGTACAGAATGCCACAGGCCTGAAGTGCGAGTCATCTCAAGGTTCACTTGGGTCGAGAAATCTCGAGTCATCTCAAGATTCACGAATCGCGGTGAGCACGGTGACAGATTGGCGCCGTTTCTGCAGTGCTGTTGCTTCCGGCGCATTCTGTGATAGTGGCTTTTGTTTGATCAGTTGATTGATCCGCCCTGACCAATGCGTGACTCGGGCAGATGCCGTCAAGGCAGATCCGAATCTGGATTCGTCAAAGCCACATCGCATTTGGAAAACTGACACCGAACGACTGAATTTTGTTCGCGAGATAGGGTAACGCAACTTAGGGCTTTGTGATTACCATAAACTTAATCGAGGACTCTACAGAAATATTTTACGGTTCATATTTCCTGCTACTATGGCAATTGGAGCACCTCATATCGCGTACAGATTACCTGCCTAGTGAATCCGCGGCGCTCCTTTCTCAATGCCGCTCAGGGGAAGCATTTTGGGAGCAACCTTGGTGAAGGCGGGAGGATACCATTTCTGCCGCCTTTGTCAGTGCCACCACACTACGCAATCCCACGAGAACCACAGAGCGGCTCTTTGGCCTGGCCGAGGAAGCGGACGCTACCCTGTTGACTCCGGCGATGAAAATGGCCATCAGCAAACATCAGGCGCGCTGTAACGTCTTATTGATAGCATGCATAGAACAGCGGTCAGTGTTTTATGCTCCTACCAGATCGTCACAAACGATCAGGAGTCGTCGCTTTAGGGCTTTCTTTCAGGTACTAGGTCACACACAGTGACCAGATAGCTCACCGCGAACGCTCACGAACGTTCTTCGTTCTAGCTCTTTCTCCGGTACCGAAATGGATTTAGGTATAGCGATGAGCACCATAATGGACACGCCAACAAGAAGTCCATTCTTATTGACGAGCACGTTGAAGAGCGCCGGGAAGACAGGAGGCCCAGCATCACTACGCAGATCGGGTTCTGGTGGAAAGCCGGGACAGAGGTCTGTATCCGTAGTTAAGGCGGGATGCAGCCGTCTCAAGGCTAAAGCGGCAGCAACGCCAGTAACTTCGGTGAAGAAAGCTCCACCGAAGGTTGGGATAACTCCCAGAACACCCTTCGCAACCCCGAAGTCGACAGAGGTAAACGTATGACTCGCGCTTTTGTTTGAATAAAGTGAATTCAATGACTAACCTAATCGCGATGCTTGACAGGGTGATCGTTTCATCCCAAGCCGCAGCTACATGAAGATGGACGTCTCAGGATTCGCCATTCGTGGAGGCTTCGACAAGACGAGCACATCCAAGAAGCTCATCTCTCCAACCGTAAGCGATTACTTATTCTTCGAAGTCATGTAAGAATCTCACGCTAAACTAACATCGTGTCAATGGACGTCTTTACAACCAGGGAAGTTATCGGAAGCGTCTTGAAGGATTGATGGCGAGATGCGTTGAAGGCGGAGAGGGAGACTCGGCAAGGAAGCCGAGAGTGTTATCGTTCAAAGTGAAAGCACCTGCAGCTGAGTCAGACAATGGAGTTGACAGTACCACCAAGATCGCCAACTCTAGTGACGTTCCCGCACGGCGGCCTCCTCGCGCAGTATCTCAGGTAACTCCGCTAGAGACATGCTTATTGCTTAATCCTTACGTTTAGACAATCACTGACTCCAAAACAATTTTATCTTTCAGGTGGCAGAGAAGGTCCTAGACGCGCCTGGAGTGGTGGACGACTACTATCTCCAAATGATAGACTGGAGCAATTCCAACTTAATCGCTGTAGCTCTTGGAACGTCAGTGTTCATATGGAATGCCGAGAACGAGGAATCTGTGGAGCTCATGTCCGTTTTGACGGAGGATGAACAATCTCCCTACGTGACAGGAGTCTCATGGGCTCCTGATGGCGTACACTTGGCCATAGCGATCAGCAATTCTGAGATCCAAGTTTGGAACGTCTCCATCCCACAGCAGGCTAGTATCTGAAGCATACGTTTCTGCATCTATGTGTCAGTACATCTGTAAGATGTATATCCATGGAAGTCCTAACTGACATCGCTTGACCATAAACTGCAGGTCCGAACGTTCAAGGGACATTCAGCAGTTATTGGTGCAATGGACTGGTACAAGACAATCTTATCAACGGGCGACCATGCTGGCACGATCGTCAACCATGATGGTGAGCCACCATGCATTCCTAATCAGCCAACCGTTGGTGAAGTCCAACACTTTGAATTGCTCACTACTCACCTCTGAACTTAAACATTTTTTTCATAGTGCGCGCCCGTGAGCACATCATCGCGAGATTCAAGGCCCATCGCGACGGAGTATGTGGGCTAAAGTGGGCGGTGACTGGACGCCAGCTCGCCAGCGGGGGAGACGACAACCTCGTCCACATCTGGGACGCAGCGTCTATGTCATCGTCCCAGGCATCTAAAGCTAACAGTCACGACGGAGCAGACCGTCGGAGGAGCAGCGTTGGTTCTGCGGCCAGCAGCGCTACTGGAGTTCCCGTGCCTTTGCTGCATCGATTCGCTGAGCACCGCGGAGCAGTGAAGGCTCTCGCGTGGTGCCCTTTCCAGAGCCACCTGCTGGCCACGGGAGGAGGTTCGACGGACTGCACCATCCGGTTCTGGAACACGCGGACCGGCGCATGCGTGAACAGCGTCGACGCGGAGTCACAGGTGGGCACTTCTCGCGTAATTCTGAGTTCACGAGAAACGATGTCTGGAACTGACCTTTCGTCTTGACTTGCAGGTCACGGGCTTGCACTGGAGCAAGAAAGAGCGAGAGATTGTAAGCGCTCATGGCTACGAAGGAGCCAACAAGAACCAGCTGGTCGTTTCGAAGTATCCCTCTCTGGTTCCGCTGGCTCGACTGAAAGGGCATTCTGGGCGTGTACTGTCAACCGCGCAGGTAAGGGAGGCTGGTCTAGTTTAAACGCTCATAACGCCGTCGTTAACATGGGCTAATGTTGTGCTTCGTTTATCACTGATGGCAGGCCCCTGACGGTGACACAGTGGCCTCCATCTCAGCTGATGAGTCTCTCCGCATCTGGCGGCCGTTCAACTCTGACCGTGCTTCTAGGACCGCCGCGGCTGGGAGCAAGAGCAGGAGGGAGAGTCAGGGAGGGAAGATGGCGGGTGGTGCAAGTGGTGATGGGTTTGTGAAATCTCATATCCGCTAGGGTGTGACTCGTTTGGACTAGGAGCGCGCTTTCAGCTACAACTCGCTGAAAGAATGAGGCGGACAAGGGACAACAACTTGGCTCACAATAAAGCATCTTGCTGTAGTAACAACCAATCGTGCGAGATGGCATGCCTTAGCGACGTCGATTTGCTTACTATGTGTGCCATATAATTTTCCAAACCCGCGCCTTTATTTCCTTATGAATTGCCACGACTTCTGATAAAGAGCAGAGTTGGTTTCCTACCCCAAGCGGTGGAGGAAATTCCCCTCCCCAACAAAGCACGCCAAACCCAAACCTCCAAACCTTAGTCCTCCCACGCGAATACCTTTCCACCCTCCAGTCACGTCTGGTTACTTCCCGCTGCTCCTAGTCTCCAAGCTAGTACTTGCAAGACCGTAGCGTATAACACAGAGGGCACCATGGACGGGGGCGAAACGGAAAGTATGTTCCCTTCAGAAGATGTCGGAATGGGCTTCGCTCCCGTTACGGGGCAAGGAGTGAAGAAGAAAAAATCAAAATCTTTTGGTTTCGAGAGCATGGGCCTGAGTGCCGCCGTGTATCGCGCCGTGCGGCGCAAGGGCTACCAGGTGCCGACGCCCATCCAGCGGCGAACGCTGCCCATGGTGCTCGCCGGGCAAGACGTGGTTGCCATGGCGCGCACGGGTTCCGGTAAAACGGCGGCGTTCCTCATCCCCATGATCGAGCGCCTCAAGGCACACTCGAACACCGCCGGGATCCGCGCCGTGATTCTCTCGCCTACGAGGTGCGCGGGGGCGTAGGAATGGTTGGTGAGGGGATAGGAAATGGCGAAAGAAGCGCAGGACATGTGGATAGTACCTTGAGTCTTTTCGTGAGGGAGTTCAATGTGTGGATACGCATTGCGCTCTTTTTCTAACAGCGAAGGAATTGAGGCTGGGGGTAGCTTTTCCTGCCGTCTTTAGTACCTAGTACGTCGAAGGGTTTCGGGTTTATCGGTTCCTGCTGATCCCCCCTCTGTCTCTTTTACCTCCCCCTTTCACCCTCCCAGAGAGCTGGCCCTACAGACGTTCAAAATCACCAAGGAGCTCGGCAAATTCACCGACCTCCGGGCGACGGTGCTAGAAGGAGGAGACGGGACGGAGGGGCAGTTCATAGAGAGGAATGCCTTTTCTTCCTATTTATTCGTTCCTGCTGATTCTCCCTTTGTCTCTGATACCTCCCCCTCTCACCCATCCAGAGAGCTGGCCTTGCAGACGTTCAAGTTCACCAAGGAGCTCGGGAAATTCACAGACCTCCGGGCGGCAGTGCTAGTAGGAGGGGACAGCATGGAGGGGCAATTCGAGGCGCTCTCGCGCAGCCCGGACATTCTCGTGGCGACACCTGGCAGGCTGATGCATCACCTGGCTGAGGTGGAGGGGATGAGTCTGAAATCCGTGGAGTACGTTGTTTTTGATGAGGCTGACCGGCTTTTTGAGATGGGGTTTGCTACCCAGCTTAAGGAGATTTTGCGCGGGATGCCCGAGTCACGGCAGACGCTGCTTTTTTCGGCCACGCTGCCCAAGATGCTGGCGGAGTTCGCCCGGGCAGGATTGAGGGAGCCGCAGCTGGTGCGATTGGACACCGAGACGAAGCTGAGTCCGGATCTGGCGCTTTCTTTTTTCACGGTCAGACCGCACGAGAAAATGGCTGCCCTGCTGCATTTGCTTCAGGAGGTTATTCAGGTGGGGTCAGGGGCAGGTGGAGGGGGGAGGCCAGTGAGAGAAGAGGGGGAGGACGAGGAGGAATTGGGGGAGGAAAGAGAGGATGAGGTGAGAGAAAGGGAGGGGAGGAGGAGGGGGTTTGCTGGAAGGGGCAATGGGAAGCAGACGATTATATTCGTGGCAACGAAGCATCATGCGGAGCTGTTACACGAAGTGTTACAATCCGAACGGTTACCATCTTCGGTTGTTTATGGAGCCATGGACCAAACTGCCCGTAAAATCCACATCGCCAAGTTCCGTGCAGGCCGAACATCTCTTCTCATCGTGACCGACGTCGCTGCCCGAGGTATCGACATCCCTCTCCTCGACAACGTCATAAATTTCGACTTCCCGCCCAAGCCGAAACTTTTTGTCCACCGGGCAGGCCGTGCGGCGCGCGCGGGCCGTTCGGGCACGGCATATTCTTTTTTCACAGCAGAAGAGCTGCCCTTCGTGCTCGACCTTCACCTCTTCCTCTCCAAGCCAATCCGCCCGGCGCCGCTAGAAGACGAGATCGAGGCGACAGGTGGCGCAAGCCTATTGGCTGCAAGGGAGGCGCAGGAGCGAGGGGAGACGGTCTACGGACGGTACATACAGACGGAGTTAGACCGGTACTTGGAGAGATTAAGAGAGCTGGAGAGCTCGAGCGTGGCGGTGGGGATGCTGCTGAAAGTGGCTGGAAAGGCCATGAAGCTCTACCTGAGGACGCGGCCTGCTGCTTCGAACGAGAGTGCGAAGCGGAGCAAGGCGCTGGCGGGGAGGGAAGGCGTGCACCTGACGCTGAGGGACAGAGTTGGGGGGATGGAGTCTGCTGCTGCGGCGTTTGCTGAGCACCTCAAGAAGTTCAGGTGGGTCGATGGATGTCTGGTGGGATGGTTAGGGGGTTCGGGGTGGGCAAGGTGGTGGGTGGCGTAGGGTTTAGGGAGGGCGTGCATCTGATTTTGAGGGGCCCCGTGGGCGGGATGGAGTCCGCTGCTGCTGCATTCGCCGAGCACCTTACGAAGTTCAGGTGGGGAGGGCGGCGTTGGGGGGATGCTAGGGGGGCTCTTATGGGTTCTGGAGGGGGGGATTGGGCGGGAATCGGGATTGGTTGATGGGGATTGACCGTGCTTGCTGTGTGTTGGCAAATTTGAGTACGAGGGATACAGGAGTGAGTACGAAGTGGGTGGGAGGAGCAACGCGCTGGCAGGCAGGGAGGGAGGCCGTGCATCTGGTTTGGGCGGCCTGGATGCTGCTGCTGCTGCTGCTGCGGTGCTGCTGCTGCTGCGGTGCTGCTGCTACTGCGGTGCTGCTGCTGCTGCGGTGCTGCTGCTGCTGCGGTGCTGCTGTTGCTGCTGCTGCTGCTGCTGCTGCTGCTGCTGCTGCTGCTGCTGCTGCTGCTGCTGCTGCTGCTGCTGCTGCTGCTGCTGCTGCTGCTGCTGCTGCTGCTGCTGCTGCTGCTGCTGCTGCTGCTGCTGCTGCTGCTGCTGCTGCTGCTGCTGCTGCTGCTGCTGCTGCTGCTGCTGCTGCTGCTGCTGCTGCTGCTGCTGCGGCGTTTGCCAAGCATCTGAAGGATATTAGGAGAGAGAGGGGGCGTTGGGGAGAGCGGAGCAGCAGGAGGGACGGATGGGTAGCTACCGAGGAGGTAAGCAGGGACGCTGCTTGCCATGCGGAAAACAGTTGTCTGACGGGGCAAGAGACGTTGGAGGAGAAGCAAGATGCTGGCTGGGAGGGAGGGGGTAACTGGGGGACCGAGTGGGGGGGCATGAGAATGCTGCCTTGGGGTAACTGGTATTTATGGTTTGCTTATCGTTCTCTCCACCCATATCGTCTGTGGTCGTTCTCCTTCTCCTTCCTCCGTCTCTCCTTCTGCCCCACTCAAAACGAGTGAGTGCCTGTGACGTATGCGCATGCATGCATGCGCGTGTGTTTGTGTTGGGGGGGGGGGGGGGGGAGGGGAGTACTGTGTGTGTGGAGGGGGGGGGGGAGGGGAGGGGGGCTATGTGTGTGCGTGTGCGTGCATGGATGATTGCACGTGAGCAGGCCAAAGCAGACGGTACTGGAGCTCGAGGCTGAAGCAGCCACAGCCAAGAAGAAAGCAGTGAGTGGAGGAGAGGGGAGGGGAAAGATGAACGTAAAGGCGAGTCGAGAAAGAGGGAAGGGGCGGGAGAGGAGCTTGAGGCAGAAGCAGCCACAGCCAAGAAGAAAGCGGTGAGGGGAGGAGATGGGGGAGAGATGAAATGACAGAGGAGACTGGAGTGCTGCAGTGTAGTCATTTTTTAGAATTCTCAAAAACGAGTGCTGGTTGTGATGAGGGCCAAGAGGGAGGTGCATGTGCATCTTTTGAGTCGACTCAAGAGGGAGGTGCATGTGCATCAGAGATGACTGTTGAGTGGGAAGTGCACCAGGGGGCCATCAGCATTCTCCTCTCCCCTCTGCCTTCTCCCTGTTGCCCTCTCTTCCCTCTCCCCTCTCCCCCTCTTGCATTGCTGCTACCCCACCCCAGGGCCCAGTGGCTGCAGGGCTAGATGTGATGAGGGCGAAGCGGAAGGTGCACCAGAGAGCCACCAGCAGCCAGTTCTAGTCTCTCTGTCCTCTGCTTCTCCCCTCCCCGCGCCCCTACCCCACCCCAGGGCCCAGTGGCTGCAGGGCTAGATGTGATGAGGGCGAAGCGGGAGGTGCACCAGAAGGCCATCAGCAAGAGGCGGGACAAGCTGGGGGGCGAGGGGAGGGAGGTGTGGGGGAACGGATTAAAAGGGGAGGGGGAGGGAGAGGAGGAGGAGGATGAGGAAGAGGAGGGTGAGGGGGGAGAGGTACTGGAGGAGGGGGAGGAGGGAGAGGAGGAGGAGGGAGAGGAGGAGGAGGAAGGGGAGGATGATGATTTCACTGGGTTTTTGGAGGGAGAGGAGGGTGGGGGGGAGGATGGGGAGGAGGGAGAGGGGGAGGATGACGAGTTGATAGTGGGGGTGGGCAATGGTGGAGGGGGGACAGGGGTGGGGGAAAACGGAAGAGGAAGGAGGGGGAGGGGCGAGGGGGGAAGAGGGAGAAGCCAACGAGCTTCAAGGACGATCAATTCTTCATCAACAGCATTCCTCCCAACAGGGTAAGATGATTAGAGAAGCAAAATGCTGGTTAGGATGTGTGGTCCAGGCAGCCAGGCATCAGCAAGGGGAGAAGGGAATGATAGGGGACCCGGAAGGGAAGCAGCATGCGTGAATGAGGCAACCAGTCTCTTTCTGTTCCCCTCAGCCTGAGTGAGCGAAGGAGGCGTTTGGTTATCAGTGTGGAAGTGAAGGAAGCAGTGCAAGCATGCAGGCTACAATATTGTTACGCATAACACTATTTGGTTTGGATTTGAAGATAAAATACTTTCCGACGCTTTTGAATTCAGTTGCCCTTAATTACAAGATTTCTGGATTCTGCACAATCTATCTTTTTTGTCCACCATGTTCTTTTTTTTTTTCCTGCCCGGTGCAGCACTGGGAAAGCGGCCTTTCGGTCAACGGGCGGCCCAAGAACGAATTCTCAGCTGAAGTACAAAAGTACGCCACACTTCCCCCCCGACACATGCGGAATGGAGTTCCAGCTTAAAGTGCACCAGTTCCTAATGATGATGATGATGATGATGATGATGATGATGATGATGATGATGATATGATGATGATGATGATGATGATGATGATGATGATGATGATGATGATGATGATGATGATGATGATGATGATGATGATGATGATGATGATGATGATGATGATGATGATGATGATGATGATGATGATGATGATGATGATGATGATGATGATGATGATGATGATGATGATGATGATGATGATGATGATGCACGACTTTTAGTCACCCTCTGATGTTTGCACGTCTTCTTTCTCGTTCCCTTACCCTTGCCTTCCCACGCGTCACCCCCGTCAATGTGTCCTTGTATTAGGTTAGGTAGGTGGCATGTTACAGGCATGGCAGGTTAGGTAGGTGGCATGTTACAGGCATGGCAGGTTAGGTAGGTGGCATGTTACAGGCATGGCAGGTTAGGTAGGTGGCATGTTACAGGCATGGCAGGTTAGGTAGGTGGCATGTTACAGGCATGGCAGGTTAGGTAGGTGGCATGTTACAGGCATGGCAGGTTAGGTAGGTGGCATGTTACAGGCATGGCAGGTTAGGTAGGTGGCATGTTACAGGCATGGCAGGTTAGGTAGGTGGCATGTTACAGGCATGGCAGGTTAGGTAGGTGGCATGTTACAGGCATGGCAGGTAAGGGAGAGACACCGTCACCTTCCCTCCCCTTTTCCCGCACCCCCTCCGCCCCCACCCCCTTCACTGACGTTTCCTTTTGATGTTCTCTTCTCTTCCCCCATTGCCCGCCCGTTTCGCCTCATTCCCACCCCACTCTTCATTGTTCGAGGCTCCTGATTTTTCAAATGCACACCTCTCATTCTCTCCCCACTCTTTCTTTTCACTCCCTTCCGTGCAGGTTCGGGGTATAGGTGCTGGACCTGGCGCCTGATGATGCACACTTCTTCGCATCCCCCTCACCCCCTCTCCGCTCTCCCCTCCCACCCCCCTCTCTCCCTCCGCCCCTTCGTTTCCCTCACTTTCTTTCAGGTTCAAGGCAAAGGTGCTGGACCTGGTGCCTGATGATGGGGAACCTCGGACACTCTTCCTCGGACACTCTTCCATGAATGGCGTCTGATCGCAGTGCTGGGAGTAGGTGCTGCTGATGGGCGCCTTATAGTAACCTCATTTCCCCTTGCCCTCCCCCACAGGTTCGAGGCAGAGGTGCTGGACCTGGCGCCTGATGATGGGGAGGGGGCGCAGAAGAGAAAGGCAGTGTTCCACTGGGATAAGGTACAGTGTTTGTTTAATTGTTTCATATGATATATATTCTGGAAGGTGCAGTTTCATTTATGTTGAATGGTGGCTTATCCTGTGAAGGAGAGCCATGGGAAGGCCTTCCGAGCGGAAGGGCAAGAAGTCCTTCGCTTGCAACACCCCCGCTGTTTCCTTCAACACTTCCCCTTCCCTCTACCTCACACTTTCCTTTTCACTGAGCAGAAGAGCAAGAAGTACATCAAGCTCAATCCGGGGGAAGGCGTTCTGAGACACATCAAACCTCCAGTTCCGCCCATCCCTTTCGTTTCCACTCCCTCCTTCAACCCCTGCCACTTTCCTTTTCAGTGAGCAGAAGAGCAAGAAGTACATCAAGCTGAATCCCCGGGAGACGTTCTGAGACTCTTCAAACCTCCACTCCACCCATCCCTTTCGTTTCCACTCCCTGCTGCTACTCCTTTGCACGTGTGAGCAGAAGAGCAAGAAGTACATCAAGCTGAATCCCGGGGAGACCCTTGGTCCTTCTGGCAAGGTGAGCGCAAGCCCTTCACTTCTCCTGGGAATGAGTAGCACCCCTTTCCTTGGATGGCATTTTCTGCGGCAAGTGAGTATTTGTAGCTTTCGACTGCTGAATCTGCTCAGTTTCGGAAGCCCCTAGTCTGCTGTATCCTCTTGAGTCGAATTTGTGGAACCCCCTGGATTCTCACACCCTGGAATCCCTGGACCCTGCAGGTGGGGTCAAAGCCAGTGTGCGCAGCAAGGGGTCAATTCTTTAGGCGCCTCAAAATTAGACGAAGTCGATATTGTGGAATTCCGTGGATTGAGACACCTTGGAATCCCTGGATCCTGCTGGTAGGGTCAAAGCCTGTGTGGTGGGCAGCAAGGAAAGTGCCCTGAGTCCTCCAAATATTTTGTCTTTTGAAATTATCTCCCCTCGGTCTCTCAGGTCCGCACGGAGAGTGGCGCCAAGACGAGTGGGGGCAGCACGAGCATGTACACACAGTGGAAGGAAGGAGAGGACGCACATGAGAGTCACTCCCCTGACTCACACACTCTCTGAATTCCCTTTGGTCATTCCCTGCATCCCTTTTAACCCCTCTGAACCTCTCAGGTCCGCACGGAGAGCGGCGCCAAGATGAGCGCAGGCAGCAAGGGCATCTACAAGCGGTGGAAGGAGAGGACGCACCTTGTGTTTTACAATATCCAAACCCCTGAATCGACTCCCTGCATCCCTCCTCACCCTTCTAAACTCTACAGGTCCGCACGGAGAGCGGCGCCAAGACGAGTGCGGGCAGCAAGGGCATCTACAAGCGGTGGAAGGAGAGGACGCACATGAGGGTGGGCGGCAGGGGGGCACGTGGCGGCAGCGCATTCGACGCTGACGAGGACGCTGGTGGCGCTGGTCGTGGTGGTTTCTCGAGGGGGAGGGGAGGAGCACGAGGCGGTCGAGGAGGTGAGTGGGAGTTGACTAGGGGATGTGAGCTGAGCAGAAGAGCGGGTTGTCGGGATTAGAAAGTGGATGGTGGTGGGGGGGTGGGTGGTGGTGAGGGGGTAGGAGGATGTTGAGAGAAGGTGGTATACTGCTTGCTAGCCAGCTCCCTGTGGAGGGTTTGATTTGCTGCCTGGCAGCGGAGCTGATCCTCCAATGTTCCAAAGAGAAAGGCACAGCAGGAAGAACTCTTTCTGTTTACCCCACTCCCCCAACCACCATTTACCTACACTACACTACACCATTTTGTGGTATCTGACTCTCTAGGCCCTAACCTCTCCCTCAGGTTAGCTAAGCACAGGCATTCCGAGCCAATATTTCCCGCCCTGCCACCTCCGTTCCCCCCTGGTTCCCTGCTACAGGCATGTCGGGCAGAGGAGGGTCGGGTGGGCGAGTGAGGGATGAGCTGAGGAGTGTGGAGGAGGTGCGGAAGATGCGGCAGACCGCGGTGGCTAGAGGGGGCGGGGGGAGAGGAGGGGGTGGTGGGAGGGGAGGGAGTGGCGGGAGAGGAAGCAGTGGAGGGAGGGGTGGGAGGGGAGGAAGGGGAGGAAGGGGAGGGAGGGGAGGGAGTGGGGGGAGGGGTGGGAGTGGAGGGAGGGGAAGGGGCGGAGGAAAGTCAAGCTCTAGTGGGAGAGGGGGAGGTAGAGGGGGGAGAGGCAAGATGGGAAGGGGCAGAAGTCGCGGTGGCATGTAGTTTACTTGAGTGCGAGGTTGTGGTGAACATGCATGTTTGTGAATCATCAGTGTATTCATACCATTTTTACTGTACGAACATTAACTTGACGAGAAAATTGAAGCCTGGAAGTTGTGAGAATGCAAACAGGCGGGCTGTCCTTGCCTTTTTAGAAACATATGAAACCTATGCTTGCGGATTATAAAATGTTAGTTAACATTTTATCTAACGGCACGTTCCAACGAATTCATGTTACCACTCTCGCGAGCCTCGAGTTCATCCGCGAAACCACTTTCTGTCGGCCTTCCCGCTTCCCGCTGTTTTACCTGCCTTCCGCCCCTGAAGGGAGGGAGCCCAGCATCACAGATCTGCCTGCTGGTACTCCTGTTTCCGCTCTTCCCTCAACACTGACCCTGTGCCTTTCCCAAGCTGTGCTGTACCTAGAATCACCCTTGATCTAGGAATGCCGTTGTTCGCATCGCGGAATGCGTAGATTCGTCTTCGATTTCCGTCTTCCTAATTAGGGCGTAGCGTCTTTCAGGACCTTGACCGTTGCTGCTGCTCTAGTTGTGTGATTTCGGTAGGAAGGGTTTGGATCCCGATTTTACTCGCCTGAGCTCACATCCCTGGTCCTGGCAATATGGTGCGTTAGATTCGCCTTTATTTCCGCATCCATGTTGTTTCTTATTCCACTCGGATTAGATTGACGACCTAGTTTCTTTTCTGCAGGTGGTCCTATCAGCAGCGATCATCAGCAAGACGGGAAAAGGCATGTTCAGATCGATTTACATGTCGTCCTTAGATCACCAGCGATTAATCTCCTGGTTGAACCTATTCACATACCATGTTCTAGCGCTCGTCATTTTCTCACGTGCGTGGTATTTTGTTTGGTTGCTGCAGCATTGGTGTCCCGGCAATTCGTAGATATGGCTCGGATTCGAATCGAAGGGTTGCTTGCAGCTTTCCCTAAACTCATCGGAAGCGGGAAGCAGCACACGTTCGTCGAGACCGAGAATGTGCGATATGTGTATCAATCGCTGGAGGGTCTCTATTTACTGCTGGTCACGAACAAGCAAAGCAACATCTTAGAGGATCTCGAGACGCTCCGCCTACTATCGAAGCTCGTAAGCTTAACCTAATCCCCAAGGCTCCCTGCTTCATGCCGTAACAATCTTAATTTCTGACTTTTCCATGTCACGATCCGATCCATGTGCTTTTGTCTCCTCATTCTCATGCGCCGACATTATATTTTCTCAATCACGTCTCTCTATCTGGCTTTCCAGGTACCCGAGTACTGTCCAGGACTTGACGAGGAATCCGTGTGTCACATGGCGTTCGAGCTCATATTCGCGTTCGACGAGGTCATCTCGCTGGGCCACAAGGAGAACGTGACTATAGCGCAGGTGAAGCAGTTCACGGAGATGGAGAGCAGCGCGGAGAAGCAGTACAAGGCGGACATGCTGAGCAAGATCAACGAGACCAAGGACCTCATGAAGAAGAAGGCGCAGGAGATCGAGAAGCTCCGGGTACGTACAACAACCCCCCTGTGTTCTTCTGCCACGTTCACCTAACCCTTATCTCTCGACGTATATGCAGCTCGCCTTCCTTTTTACGTCCTTCATTACTTTCTGAGATTGTGTGAGATCACGCTGTTCTGCGTCTCTCGCGCTTGCTCTCTCCGATTCGCCGTTGGCAGGCGGACAAGAGAGTCGATCGCGGGGGGATTTCAGGCGGGCTGTCAGGCATGGGTCCTGGCGGGGGAGGTCAGATGTCCATAAACAACGGCTTCCCGGAGATGGGGAGGATGGGAGGCGGTGGAGGTGGCGGGTTCGGAGGTCCGGTTTCAACTGGTCCGGAGCCCGGTAAGTGCGTAGACGCTACTTTGACCCTGGCAAGTGTCTAGTCCATACACGAACCTATCCGTGCGTAGACGAGAATCGATCCTGATACGGGCTTAGGCGATACTCGCCCCTGACACGTGTCACGGCGACTCTCGATCCTGGTATGTGCGTAGGCGATGCTCGACCCTGAGACGTGCGTAGGCGATGCTCGACCCTGAGACGTGCGTAGGCGATGCTCGATCCTGATACGTGCGTAGGCTGTACTGCGACCCCTGTTTGCGCTTGTGAACTAGGCGCGCGCAACCCTAATATCGTAAACGGCACTCAAATCACGTGCATGTGAACCGGGTGGCGTTTGGGTCTGGTTTACATGCGATAGTGAGGACGATCGAATCTCTAGCACTGGGATACTCTATCCGCTAACGTGGCGATCCGTCATTCCACTGCTCTTCCCTCGCCGCGGATCCCTCGTCGTCCTTGATAGAATCCCTGTCTTGCGCTTCCCTCTCTCGTACCCACGCCCGTCCTCAACACGACCGCTTTCCCCCGAACCACATGTCGGCCTGGTGGACGCTTGGGCGCGCCGGCCAAGCGCTTGGCTATGAAGCTGGTGGAAGCCCCGGTGCACCGTTCATAACGGCATGGAGTCGCTAAAAGCAGGATCCCTCGCCGATTTCTATCGGTCACCCCACTCATTCGCGTGCCACGCCTCCCCGTTTCACTTCCCTTCCATTCCTCCCCAACCCGCAGGTCGGCCCGGCGGGAGCCTGGGCGCACCCTCTAAGGGCATGGGCATGAAGCTGGGCAAGTCCACCAAGACGAACCAGTTCCTGGAGTCGCTCAAGGCGGAGGGCGAGGTCATCGTCGAGGACGCCGCTCCTGCCTCGTCCGCCGCTGTCGGCCTTGGTGGTGGTGGCGGGCAACCTGCGTTTGTGGCGACGGACCCCATCACGATCCTGGTGGAGGAGAAGCTGGTGGTGGCGTGGAAGCGCGACGGCGGGCTGGAGAACATGGAGGTGCAGGGCACCATGGCGCTCACCGTGCTCAAGGAGGAGGACGCCTTTATCCGCATCCAGGTGGGTAGGAGTTAGAGGCGTGCAGGTAAGTGCAGGTAAAGAGAGGCCGTGCGGGAAGAGTGGGGGCGTGCGGGAAGCAAGAGTGCGTGTGGGTGCAGGTAAGTGAGAGGGCGCAGGTAAGCGCAGGTAAGGGAGGGCGTGCTGGGCTGCGGGCTGGAGATCATGGAGGTGCAGGGCACCATGGCGCTGCTCAAGGGGGACGACGCGGTCATCCGCATCCACGTGGGTAGGAGCGTCCTGGGCTGCGCTGCGGGAAGTTTGTGAGCTGCTACATGGGGAGTTTCTGTGAGTCGTGTTGCAGAGTGCCTTTGGCTTCGCTCTGCTCTTTCAGCACACGGCTTACCCCGGTGCTGCTTTCCGTATCCCTGGCTGGTTTTGGCGACGATCCTCTTGCAGATGGAGGGCGGGCACGACAAGAGCTTTCAATCTAAGTCGCATCCGAACATCAACAAGGCGCTGTACAGCAGGCAGAACATCCTGGGGCTCAAGGACCCCAACCGGCCCTTCCCCTCCGCCCCTTCCCCACCGGCCCTTCCTCACTGGCAGCTCATGCAATCCAAGGGCGAGTCCGTCGTCCCCGTCAGCAGTAAAGTCTCACTCCCTTTCCCTCTCTCTTTCCCTCTCCCTCCTGCAGATCGAGGGCGGGCACGACAAGAGCTTCCAGTTCAAGACGCATCCGAACATCGACAAGGCGCTGTACGGCGGGCAGAACATTCTGGGGCTCAAGGACCCCAACCGGCCCTTCCCCACCGGCAGCCCGCTCGGCATCCTCAAGTGGCGCATGCAATCCAAGGACGAGACCGTCGTCCCCATCAGCAGTAAGGCTCCCCTCTCTCCCTCTCTCTCTCCCTCTTTTATACCCTCTCTCTTTCCCTCAGCCGACCTGTTTCCCGCCGCTGCTCTTTCTCATTCTCTCAGCGGCTTTGCTTCCCTCCACTGCCCTCGCGTTCCTTCATCATGAGCGACCCTATTCTTTTTGCATCGTTGTGGGTTCATGTGGGTCCCTGATCTTCATGTGGGTCCCTGATCATCATGTGGGTCCCTGATCTAAAGGTCCTGTCTTGCCCCCATTCTGCTGCATGCTCCCACCCCTCCACCCCCCTCCTCCCCCTCTCTCCCCCTCCCCTCCCCCTCTCCGCCTCTCCTCCTCTCCCCACCCGCAACCATTCCCGCAATCAACTGCTGGCGTCGGGGTCTGGGCAGAGACGTATGTGAGCATAGATCCTCAGGCGCTCAATCAACATTTCCTTACTCCTTTGGCTCCCATTCCCGCAGTCAACTGCTGGCCGCTGGTGTCTAGTCCAGACATGTACGTGAACGTAGACTACGAAACCACACGTAGAGTGCTGCGCCATGCAGGCCTTTCTGCTCTTACTCATATTCCTGTGTGCGATCCTCCCCTTTCCCTTGGCGCCCATTCCCGCAGTCAACTGCTGGCCATCGGTGTCTGGCACGGACACGTATGTGAACATAGAGTACGAGGCCACACGTGCCTTTCTGCCTTTCCTCAGGCTTATGCATGCAATCCCACTTGGTTGCCTTCTCTGCAGTCAACTGCTGGCCGTCTGTGTCTGGCGCGGACACGTATGTGAACATAGAGTACGAGGCCACACAGGCGTTTGACCTGCGCCACGTGGTTGTGGAGATCCCGCTGCCGGCTCTGCGTGAAGCGCCCACGCTCAAGGACTATGACGGCGAGCCGAGGTGCGTGCAACGTTGGTTTGTCTTCTTTTCTTCTCTTTTCTTCAAATTCGACTTCAAGCACAACCATGTGCATGAAGCGTACATGCTGGAGAGCGAAGGTCAATGCACCAGCGTTGCGTCTGCGCATTGTGCACGAGCCCCCGCTCGGCTGGGAGCTCGTATGGTTCCTTGGCATGGTCCTTGTGGTTCTGGTGCAGTGCAGCTTCGCTGTGAAGCCTTGCTTCTCCTCCAGGTCCCTGATGGTCTTTCCAATGCTGACCCTGTGCATGCATACAGATACGATGCAAGGAGATCCGTGTTGGAGTGGTGCATCGACCTCATTGATAACTCCAACCGCAAGTGAGCTCTCATGTCAAATTTTTGCCGGTTGGCCCTGGTCTTGTTAGAGTAGCCGTGGTTGTTTTCTTCCCACTTGTTTTGGGGCGGGGGTGGGTGAGGCGGGGGGGGGGGGAGGGAGAGGGGAGGGGAAAGAAGTTATGGAACATTACGTGCCACGGATCTGAAGAGGAGGAAAAGAGCTTGGGTCATGAGTTCAGATTGAGGCAGCCCCAACGCATTGGCTTCAAGGCCAGGTTACAGCACGCAAGTACCTAGGCCGACTTATGCAACAAATATAGTTCACGTGGTAACAGTGGTTCTACTACACTAATCCACCCGTCTTCACTCTCCTCGCTCCCTGTCTATCATGGATCTTGTTTCCTTGCACTGCTCATTCTTATTCCCCATCCGTTCCCCATCCGTTCCCCATCCGTTTCCCATCTGTTCCCCATCCGTTCCCCATCCGTTTCCCATCTGTTCCCCATCCGTTCCCCATCCGTTCCCCATCCGTTCCCCATCCGTTCCCCATCCGTTCCCCATCCGTTCCCCATCCGTTCCCCATCCGTTTCCCATCTGTTCCCCATCCGTTCCCCATCCGTTCCCCATCCGTTCCCCATCCGTTCCCCATCCGTTCCCCATCCGTTCCCCATCCGTTCCCCATCCGTTTCCCATCTGTTCCCCATCCGTTCCCCATCCGTTTCCCATCCGTTCCCCATCCGTTCCCCATCCGTTTCCCATCCGTCCCATCCGTTCCCCATCCGTTCCCCATCCGTTTCCCATCCGTTCCCCATCCGTTCCCCATCCGTTCCCCATCCGTTCCCCATCCGTTCCCCATCCGTTCCCCATCCGTTCCCCATCCGTTTCCCATCTGTTCCCCATCCGTTCCCCATCCGTTCCCCATCCGTTCCCCATCCGTTCCCCATCCGTTCCCCATCCGTTTCCCATCCGTTCCCCATCCGTTCCCCATCCGTTCCCCATCCGTTCCCCATCCGTTCCCCATCCGTTCCCCATCCGTTCCCCATCCGTTCCCCATCCGTTCCCCATCCGTTTCCCATCTGTTCCCCATCCGTTCCCCATCCGTTCCCCATCCGTTCCCCATCCGTTCCCCATCCGTTCCCCATCCGTTCCCCATCCGTTCCCCATCCGTTCCCCATCCGTTTCCCATCTGTTCCCCATCCGTTCCCCATCCGTTCCCCATCCGTTCCCCATCCGTTCCCCATCCGTTCCCCATCCGTTCCCCATCCGTTCCCCATCCGTTCCCCATCCGTTCCCCATCCGTTTCCCATCTGTTTCCCATCTGTTCCCCATCCGTTCCCCATCCGTTCCCCATCCGTTCCCCATCCGTTTCCCATCTGTTCCCCATCCGTTCCCCATCCGTTCCCCATCCGTTCCCCATCCGTTCCCCATCCGTTCCCCATCCGTTCCCCATCCGTTTCCCATCTGTTCCCCATCCGTTCCCCATCCGTTCCCCATCCGTTCCCCATCCGTTCCCCATCCGTTCCCCATCCGTTCCCCATCCGTTCCCCATCCGTTTCCCATCTGTTCCCCATCCGTTCCCCATCCGTTCCCCATCCGTTCCCCATCCGTTCCCCATCCGTTCCCCATCCGTTCCCCATCTGTTTCCCATCTGTTCCCCATCCGTTCCCCATCCGTTCCCCATCCGTTCCCCATCCGTTTCCCATCTGTTCCCCATCCGTTCCCCATCCGTTCCCCATCCGTTCCCCATCCGTTCCCCATCCGTTTCCCATCTGTTCCCCATCCGTTCCCCATCCGTTCCCCATCCGTTCCCCATCCGTTCCCCATCCGTTCCCCATCCGTTCCCCATCCGTTCCCCATCCGTTTCCCATCTGTTCCCCATCCGTTCCCCATCCGTTCCCCATCCGTTCCCCATCCGTTCCCCATCCGTTCCCCATCCGTTCCCCATCTGTTTCCCATCTGTTCCCCATCCGTTCCCCATCCGTTCCCCATCCGTTCCCCATCCGTTTCCCATCTGTTCCCCATCCGTTCCCCATCCGTTCCCCATCCGTTCCCCATCCGTTCCCCATCTGTTTCCCATCTGTTCCCCATCCGTTTCCCATCTGTTCCCCATCTGTTGCCACCTGTTCCCTACTTGTTACCCATCCGTTCCCCGCCTGTTTCCCATCTGTTGCCACCTGTCCCCTGTGTGGCGCCCACGTGCTCCCAGTGGATCGATGGAGTTTGTGGTGCCGGCCACCAACCCGGACGTCTTCTTCCCCATTGAAGTGCGCTTCACATCCGCCAAGACCTTCTGCGATGTCAAGGTCTGTCGCCTCGTCCGCCAGCCCTTCCATCCATCCCACCCCTGGCAAAACCCCCTCCCCCCTTCCGTCCTTGACTGTCCCCCCCCCCTTCTCCCCTCCCCCCCACCCACTCTTCTCTCAAACCACTCCCACCCCACCACCTTTCCATCCCTGACCCACCCCTGCTCCTTCACCCCCTTTCCACCATCCTCCATTCTCGTCTTGGTCCCCCCCCCCCCCCTCCCCTCTCTTTCCCTCTCGCCCACTCCGATTCCTCTTTCCCCGCCCTGCCCTTCGGTTTCAGCCTCCCTTCCCTTCCTTGTCTCCCTGCATTCTCATAACCTTCTTTCCCTCCAACCTTCAAGCCTTGTCCCAGCCCCCACTTACTCTCCTTGCCCAGCACCATGATTCAGGCACAGCGATGGGCGAGTGCATTCAATCGGGCAGCATGTCTTATGCATTGTTTGGATTTCCTCTTCCATTGGTTGGCTGTTTCAGGTGGTATCTGTGACCCAATCAAGCAGCGGCCAACCAGTCAAGTTTGCAGGGAGAACACAGATGAGCGTGGAAAGCTACCAAGTTGTGTAGTTGAATATATTTTTTGTGTGTTTGAAGTGGCGAACTCAGGGTTAACAGGTAATGAGGATGGCGGCTGTGCGGAGTATTTTTTTATAAGGTGCCGTATATGTTCAGGTTTGCACCTCCATGTAAGGAAACATGTGACAGTGGCTGAAGCCAGGCCTAGCATTGTTGCTGTGACACAGAGTGGCTCTATGTGGCTTGTGTATCACTTATCTGACTGTCAAACCAATCAACATTTCTTGTGTTTTCATTGTTTCTGTTCGGTAATTCGAGAACTGGAGATGTTTCTATGGTTGAACTTGAATCCTCATACACTGCCACATATCGAGGAAAGCCAAACTCACCCCGCATCTCCCGGCACCGTCAAGCAGGGCTTTCGTCAGGTTGGCCGAATGCGCGTTCCCCGCTTCTGACGCGTACAATGTCAAACGTAGCGAGCGCGAACCACCGAGAGTCCACATCAAGCCTCCTCCAATCCGCTGCAGGGGAACGCGTTCGGCTCAGTTTGACTGGGCCGCGCTCGTCCAATCAGCAGCGAATTCCATTTCATCCCTTGTCAAGCATCGAGGTTCTCCCCTGCCATGCCATGCCATGGCTCACTGGATTCTGCCCCGTCAATCCCGAGGTTCCTGGTGCAGTGCCACCCCCTCCTGCCTGCTGCTCCTCCTCATGCTTCGGTCAAATGCTTCAGGCTTCAGCAGAAATGCCAGAGCTACTCGACTTCTTCCCTTCCTGGGTCTTGCATTTTTGTAGTCGGCAGCCTGAAGCTTTTGTTCACTTACCGTCGCGTCGAAGTTCTACGACAAACGCCTGACTGGCCATTTTATTCCGTTCCGAGACGCAGAAATTGTTGTCAGCGGCATTTTGAAGAGAAACCGCAGCCTTCGTGCGTGCCCGCAGCTGCGTTCACCACGCAGCGGTTGTTCCCCAATCTGACCGAATCGAGGAGCCATGCCGAGCGGAGACGTTCTCGTCGCGTCGCAGCCAGCGATATGCAGCAAGGAGGAAATGCGGGTGAGTGTCGCAGTGACGGAGAGAACAACTGAGTTACATAGCTCTTTTTTTTTCGCAAATCGAAGCTTGCACTCGCTAGCAGTGCGTCAGACAGTTTCGCTGAGGCACAGCAACAAGCTGGTGATGGATAAGCTTGAACGAAGCGCTTCCGTTCTTGTGACATTTGAGAAAACTAAAAAATCACCTACAACAAGTGTGACATGTATCCCTGCTGTTTAATACGCGTTGGCATGTATCACTACAACAACTGTGGCACTTCAATGTCACGGCAGCGAGCCTCGTTGTTGCGATATCGTTCCCCTCTTCCACGAGCTGCCTCTCACCATTCCCCACCATTCCCCACCATTCCCCTGTTCCCCGTGCCGGTTCTCGTTATTTCCATCGCCTCGCAGGTCTACCGCCGCTGGTTCGCATTCGTCGACGCAGGTACGGCTGCCAGTGTCACCGCGTGCTTCACTCCCGCGCGCAAACGCCGTTTGAACTCTCGCGTCACTTGTTGTTCAATCCACCGTGTTAGGCCCCCAGCCTCGTACGTACTAGCGCTAAGAATCTCGGAAAATCTTATATTCCGAGCTTTCGTGGCGTTTTGAAAGGCGTCCTTTAGCTGCATCAATCGTCTGTCCGTCCGTCTGTCCCTTGTTTTTCCAAAACATTACCGGGCAATCCGGCTGGAATAAGGGACGTGCTTTAAGGCTTCATTTTCAGATCCATTGAGATCATCCGGCTGCCCTCGACCATGATGCGAGTAGCACTGGATTCCCCATCACATTCCTACCTCCGCTTCCTTCCTCGCGATGTTCTCTCTTAATTCAGCTCCAACATCATCCCACCCATCTACTCTACTACCCCTTCAGAGGCCGATGGTCGCATCACGGGTCCGGACGCCGTTCCCTTCTTCAAGCGCTCGGGCCTCATGCAGCACGACCTCAAAGCGGTACGACCTCAAAGCGGTACGACCTCAAAGCGGTACGACCTCAAAGCGGTACGACCTCAAAGCGGTACGACCTCAAAGCGGTACGACCTCAAAGCGGTACGACCTCAAAGCGGTACGACCTCAAAGCGGTACGACCTCAAAGCGGTACGACCTCAAAGCGGTACGACCTCAAAGCGGTACGACCTCAAAGCGGTACGACCTCAAAGCGGTACGACCTCAAAGCGGTACGACCTCAAAGCGGTACGACCTCAAAGCGGTACGACCTCAAAGCGGTACGACCTCAAAGCGGTACGACCTCAAAGCGGTACGACCTCAAAGCGGTACGACCTCAAAGCGGTACGACCTCAAAAGCGGTACGACCTCAAAGCGGTACGACCTCAAAGCGGTACGACCTCAAAGCGGTACGACCTCAAAGCGGTACGACCTCAAAGCGGTACGACCTCAAAGCGGTACGACCTCAAAGCGGTACGACCTCAAAGCGGTACGACCTCAAAGCGGTACGACCTCAAAGCGGTACGACCTCAAAGCGGTACGACCTCAAAGCGGTACGACCTCAAAGCGGTACGACCTCAAAGCGGTACGACCTCAAAGCGGTACGACCTCAAAGCGGTACGACCTCAAAGCGGTACGACCTCAAAGCGGTACGACCTCAAAGCGGTACGACCTCAAAGCGGTACGACCTCAAAGCGGTACGACCTCAAAGCGGTACGACCTCAAAGCGGTACGACCTCAAAGCGGTACGACCTCAAAGCGGTACGACCTCAAAGCGGTACGACCTCAAAGCGGTACGACCTCAAAGCGGTACGACCTCAAAGCGGTACGACCTCAAAGCGGTACGACCTCAAAGCGGTACGACCTCAAAGCGGTACGACCTCAAAGCGGTACGACCTCAAAGCGGTACGACCTCAAAGCGGTACGACCCCCCTCAAAGCGGTACGACCTCAAAGCGGTACGACCTCAAAGCGGTACGACCTCAAAGCGGTACGACCTCAAAGCGGTACGACCTCAAAGCGGTACGACCTCAAAGCGGTACGACCTCAAAGCGGTACGACCTCAAAGCGGTACGACCTCAAAGCGGTACGACCTCAAAGCGGTACGACCTCAAAGCGGTACGACCTCAAAGCGGTACGACCTCAAAGCGGTACGACCTCAAAGCGGTACGACCTCAAAGCGGTACGACCTCAAAGCGGTACGACCTCAAAGCGGTACGACCTCAAAGCGGTACGCCCTGATGCTTCAGCGACATGCAACTGTACGACGGTAGAAACTGGTACATGAAACTGGTACGAGTGACTGGGGTACACGCTGACAGCGGTGCTATGAGTTGAACTCGGTAAAGAGGAAGCACAGCAGACGTCCCTGAGACTCCAAAGGCTGACTCTGATGGTTTCTCTGTAAGTAACCGCTTGCCTCTTTCCCCATGTCTCACTCACTTCACCTCATTTTCCCCTCGCCTTCTCTCATTCCGTGCCACGTGCCCTCTCTCTGACCCCCTCCGCTTCCTCCCCATTCCTTCCGTCTGTCCCTCCTTCCCCATCCCTCCCGCGTGTGCAGATCTGGGCTGCAGCAGACGACCGTCGCCAGGTACGAACGGAGACCACTGACTAACGCAACGCCAACAGGTCAACTGCGCATACTCGTGTTTCGCAGTTCCTACCTCCCTGCATGCATTCTCCTCCTGCATTCTCCTCCTGGCCTGGCTGCCATCCGCTCTCCCCCGATCTCCTACTGCCGACTTCACCTCCCCCTCTCGTCCTTGTTCCTGCTCGTTACCTGAAGGGGTTTGAGGGGTTGGTGGTGGCAATGCGGCTATTGGCTCCTCTCAACCGGCTTGCCATCCCTCGTGCTTGGCATCCCTCGTGCTTGGCATCCCTCGTGCTTGGCATCCCTCGTGCTTGGCATCCCTCGTGCTTGGCATCCCTCGTGCTTGGCATCCCTCGTGCTTGGCATCCCTCGTGCTTGGCATCCCTCGTGCTTGGCATCCCTCGTGCTTGCCATCCCTCGTGCTTGGCATCCCTCGTGCCTAGCAAGCATCCCTCGTGCTTGGCATCCCTCGTGCTTGCCATCCCTCGTGCTTGGCATCCCTCGTGCTTGGCATCCCTCGTGCTTGGCATCCCTCGTGCTTGGCATCCCTCGTGCTTGGCATCCCTCGTGCTTGGCATCCCTCGTGCTTGGCATCCCCCGTGCCTAGCAAGCATCCCTCGTGCTTGGCATGAGAACATTGTCTGGTTGCCACCACACTGAAAGATTCGCCCTCCCTCTCATCCGTGTGCCTGTATGCAGGGCTACCTGGGGTTCGAGGAGTTCGTGGTGGCCATGCGGCTGATCGCCAAGCAGCAGATGCTGTCCCGCGGGGAGGACATGCCAGGTGAGATTGATTGGGGATGGTGCGTTGTGCATACCTGCTATATGGAGCTATCGTGAACGCCAGTGGTGGCAAGAGATTGGCAGCTTTAAGGAGCCTCATACACTCTCCCATACATCGCTATCCTCGCCCCTCCCTGCTTCTCCCAATTCTGACACTCCTGTCTGCGCATGCTCTCTGCCTGATCCAGATGGACTTGAAAGGCCCATGTGCTCTTTCTTTGACCTCACTTCTCACTCATTTTCCACTGCCTCTTCCGCCTTCCCATTTCCGTCTTGCCGCCTCTCCCCATTGTCTTCCTTCCCCCACCGCACTGTCCGTGTTTCCCCTTGCTCAAGGGGCTGGACGAGGCTCTGGCGTCGGAAAGGCGCTTTCCTTTCTCTCTTGCCCCTTGACCCAGATCGCTCTCCTTTATTCCCCCTCCCTCCACTCCCCCCAGCGCGCTACCCGTGTTTCCCCTTGCTCAAGGGGCTGGACGAGGCTCTGGCGTCAGAGAGCATCCTGGCGTGCACTGCATCCATTGAGTCCGACACAGCAGGTGAGCCGCGTCCTCTAAACCGTGTGCTCGGCGTGATTGCTGTTACTGTGAAGTGAGTCGACTTGCAAGGCATCGAAGATACTTTAGAATTCTCACAAATCACCCTGGGAGGTGAGCCGTATGCTGTGAACGAGGCCCTGACGTCGTGATATGCACATTCAATCACTCTGCGCTCTTGCCCTCTGTCTATTCACGAGTGCACGGACTGTGTTCTCGTCTCATCATGTCAAACCGGTCTCTCATCATCTCAAACCGGTCTCTCATCATCTCAAACCGGTCTCTCATCATCTCAAACCGGTCTCTCAGCAGATGAGCCCGACCTCTCTCGAATGGCCCTTTGTATTGACCTTCGTCTCTCTCATCGTTCCATTACTCTCTGCCCACTTCGACGCCTCG